TCCCGAGCCCGACTTTCCGGGATTGTCACTGCTGCACAGAACCACCCTCCGCTGCCTGTGGCGCACCAAGGCTTCCACGCAGCGCTCGCACACACTGGCACGGCTGGAATGTTTGCCAAGTGTGCCCAGCTTTCTTTCCTTCCAGTGGAGGTCGGTCCGTAGCATATCATTACTTTCCTGCAGGTCCGGAAGGGTGGCATTGGCCGCCAACTTCGGAGCACTCCTGGAGCCCGCTTGGCTATTCGGCTGGTGTCTTGCTAGCATTACCGTTCGACGGATCATCTACTGCTGCCCTCCTCTATGGAACTCACATCAGCTTGCTACCCTGGGCGTGGCTGTTCAAAGCCAAGCTTCGTTCAATGATTGACGGGCATTTTCTCTGAAACAACTCCCGAGCTAGGCTGGTAGATGCAAGGTTGCGCCGAAATTTGTTGGCGTAGCATCGTGTGCGGACAACGGCTTACTGAGGCACACGTTCGGGTACAGAGAGGGAGAGAGAGATAGAGAGAGAGAAAGACAGAGAGACGGTGAAGGAAAAATGTGCTCTCCGCTTCGTCTAATAATAGCCGCGTTGCACACAACCCCCGAAATCGACAACCGAAATCCTGGAGAGCAGATCCCCCGACGGACTGGCGGAAGGCCGCGATGATACCCTGGGCCCTAGACTTCGGAGCCGTTGTCCCCCCCCCCCTCCCTTCTGAAGATGGCGTAGGGCCCTTTGGCGCTCGAACCATTCCCGGTACGGCCAGAAGCTCCGTGGCTCTGATTGAAGGGATTTTTGGTTTCCGGCGCTTCCTGCCTGCACCAACGGACGGCCATACTGGGAGGGGACCTGTCAAGACAAGGCCAGCTTTCCCTAGCCTACGGATAGCCGATGCTAGGGAGTCATCCTAGACACCACACGGCCGGCCGCTACTTTAGACTGGACTGCTACCATCCTGTTCACCCACGGGCTACCGTGTCATTCCTTGTCCAACTAACTACAGCTAGCCGTTGTTCCCCATTCGAGCACACCAAAAGCGTCAGGCGCACGTACAGAAGGTCAGATAGTACGGCACCCGAACCGCTAGCTCACCCAGCGAAACCATGGTTTTGGAAGAGCGTCGTCACCCGCCCCTAACGCTGATGCTGATGGAAGCGAAAGCCTTGGCCACTCCATCTGTCGTCCATGGAAGGGACGCCAACGGGAGCCCACGCGTACGACTTGGGACGATGCACCGCGCTAGACCTCGAACACTGAATCGAAGCATGGGTATGGTGTTGAGCACAGGTCATAACCCAAAGCCAAATACCCGGCACTGCGAGCGGGCGGATCAACTCATGACTGAGACCAGGGGTTGCTGAGAGGTCAAGGGGAACTCTGGTGCGGTGGTAATCTAAGCACACTTACATGCCATGTGCATGGCGTCAGGTTCGCCCACAGGAAGTCGCCGAGGAGAAAAGACCCTGGATTCGCTCCGATAATGCCGGATGTGGCGTCTACCTCACCCAGTGAGAAACCACCCGAAAGCGTGTCGGGGCTCCCGTCCTTGACTGCATTATTTATCGTATCCGATGCCGACGGACCTTGACTCTCTCAGCGCATCTGACCAGCAGCCAAACCGTCCTATGGGTAGCTTGCACACCTAAGCAGCAGCAGAGGAGACCCAGTCCTCTTGTCTGGTCCCTCGTCGTGTCGAATCACCTGCCTTACATTGAAGCAGCTGCCGAGACGCTACCATACCATGGTGACCAGCTCGCCTAGCGTTACTGCCGGTGTGCGGCCCAGCTCAGGCAAGTGTCAAGGGCCGTCGTTCCTCGAAGCATGGGCATAGGGTGGGTGTGCCGCCACGAGGGGTGAAGGGAATGGGATGGGATGGCTTCCCCCTTGGTCCGTCCACGCCGCACGACAAGCGGCGACCACCTGCGAGCCCTCGCGTGCTTCCCCTCCCTCTCCCGGGGTTAGCAGTCCAACACAGACACAGATATAGTGTGCCAATATGGATCCTCCTCGTTCGTTTGCCATTACCAATCTATTATTTTCGAGTCCATCCATAAGGCTAACTCGCTGCGGTCCTGCGGGCGACACTTGTCAGGGTGTGCCACTCTAACCTTTCGGGACTTGGGCTTCACAACAATGGCACCACTATGGCAATCTGGACCTGGGCGCCCCGTCCACGGCAGTCGTTCTTATTGGCATTTGTGCGCTTATCCTTGGAAACTCCATCGCTGCATCCGGCCGTTTGTGGCGCCTCAGGAAGAAAATAAAATTGCGGTGCCTGGCCAAAGCTTCCTTCCCCGAATGCTGTCTGGGATGCCCCCTTGACCCATGAGGCGGGGCCGATGGCATCGATGGGGTCCCTAACCCCAGCGCCGCTGCGGCCGTGGGATGAACGGCCAGAAGGTTTGCTCCATCGCCAAGATTGGCTATCGGCACTCGTCAAATTGCCTTGCGGAGTCCCGGAATACCATGCCATTGCGATGGAGGGGTGAGCCTCCTCAGATTTTGCTGCTTTGAGGCCTTCTAACTGGTCCAGACTGCCCATCTTCCCTTTATTCTCCATCGACGGCCCGCCACATGTGGGAGAGGCCGACCGGGTGAGGGATGGAGGGGGGAAATGATGGTCCTGCCAACACGAACTCTCTTACTCTGTACTGACGGACGGCTTTCTGTTTCCCAAGGGTCTGTCGGCCATCGACCTGTCCTAGTGGTTGGCGCCATGCCTGTGAGATGGAGCCGCAGCAGGTTGGGCCCGGATATGACTGGTCTCCATCGGTTGGATGAGGACATCAGTGCAAGCTGTCATATACGAGGAAGTCAAAACCCAAATTTTGCGGCACAGATAAGACGGCTAAAGAGGGGGAGATAACCTCGCCGACAAATGGCGCAGTAGCTGACCGGTTGCCCGGCGGGACTGGGAGAACCAAGAGAGCCAATTCGAAACGTTACTGGGTTCCCTCGGAACCAACTGGCCTATCCAAATATCGACAGAAGACTTCAAGCTACGGCAGACCGCAATTACGTGTAGACTCTGGAGAGCGTCATCAACTCGTCGGGACCTCATGCACACCCGGCGCCTCTGTTGGATATGCCAGCCAACAGGGTAATTTCGGAAGCCAGTGGGCACCGTTCATGACCGCGTCTGCCTTGCATCGCGATCAACAGCCGCCATCCCGACCTGTCATCGGGCCTGAATAGACGACGCTGCCCTGCAAGAAGGAAGCGCCACCCTAAAATGCCGAAGCCACCATCACCAAGAGATGGGCATCCTCCAATAAGGCTTGCCCGTGCGCCCCCTCTGCTCCGAGAGCCTTTTTGGAGGGGTGTGCTGGACGGTGCCGTGGTTGCGAAGAGGGGAGCGAGAACTAACGTGGTCCTTCGCCGCGGAAGTGCATTGCGCATACCTGCAGTAACGCAGACCCTCCAGGCGGCGCGCGCTTGACTGCACTCATTTTCTCGTTATTGTATGTCCTCTCTCGTTGGGCGTTGGTCGCCAGCCAGCCGTGATACGGCTCTTCTCTTCGTCATTGACTGGCCTCGAGTCTCGTGTTGCCCGTCGACAAGTGCCACGGCCGCAGCATATGACTTGCACGCCCCTATGTAGCCTCTGGGCAAGCCTCCATCCGGGAGGCGATGGGCAGGCAGATCCATACGGCCGGGACTGACCGTTCAAGTGAACACAGCATCAGATGTGCGGATCTGAGGGAGGACCTGCGAGAGCCAGAGAGGTAGAAGGGCCTGGGTGCCACAGAGGAATCCCTCCCAGCAGCTCGATCGGGACGGACTGCCGTTTACAAACCTGAAATCTGCTCAGTCTCTCGTATGCGCTATTGGGGGCCGGAGGCTCAGCAGGAAGCTGCCAGTAAAGTTGAGGAGAGAAGAGCAGACCAAATGGCAAGTGCTCATTGCCGCCGGTATCTGAGAAGACATACCGGGAGCGCCCCTATTGACGGCATGGGACAAGTCGACCTCAGGTTGTGCCTCTACCCCGGTGCCAGCGTACATGTTTCCCACTATACCACGAAGGACCATCACCAGACGAAGAGCACATGTGCATCTGCTAGGCAGCACATTTGTAACGTAGCTTGGAGCACCCCAACGGTAGGTACGCAGGGGTCAGTGAGGACGATGGCCAGGGAAACGAGAGACGCATGGCCTGAAGAAGCGTGAGCGGATGTCATGAGCCACAGGGACGAAGGAAGAGGCACGCCGGACGTTCGCTGCATCGCTTCCTGCAGCCATTCCTTCCATGCGCGACCCAAATCCCCAGGGACAGGTTCTGTCCGGACCTGGCCCCCGTCCTCCCCAGTTCTTCACGCGCAAAGGGGAAACACACCATGAACAGATCCTTCCCAGTGGCCATCCCCAATCGAGAAGACAGGCGCACCGCACAGGAGACGATGGGCTCCTTTCTCGCGGCGCAGGCAAGCAGAGCGAGACGAGGATGGAAGGTTGGTTCACTTGCGGATGGGGATGGGGGAGGGGGGACGCTCCCCTTCCCCCCTTTTTTTCCCTTTTCCCTCGCTCGCGCATGGCATGGCCGCATGAGTGGTGGATTCTCGGGCCTTTTTTTCTTTCTTGCTCTTCTCTTCTGCTGGTGTTGGAGTGCTTCGGACCTGTTCTGGTCACTCAAAGCAAAGCAAAGCCGATCCGGGAGACCAAAGCGGACGACAATAAACGCTCCGGGAGTAAATACGAAAGGACAATCATTTTGTGCTCGATGAACTATGGACTGAGTAGACGTATCCCATCCGCCCCTCCCTCCCCGCCTTTCCCTGTGCCCTCCCTTTCCCTTGCCTTGCTTGACATGCGTTAAAAAAAAAAGGTTGTGATTCTCATCTTTTTTCTGTTTTGTCTATCCCTGTTTTGTCTCTCCTGCTTCCACCGCCGCGACCACACCCCCCCCCCCTTTGCTTCCTTCTCCTCGTTGGCTGAAGGCCAAAGGAACCAGACACACACCCCCTGGTCTCAGGCAGAGGAAAACAACAGCCGGCCCAAGGAGAAGGTCCAAGGAAGGTGATCAGCCCACCCAGCGCCTGGCGCTCTTGAACATCCTGACCCACGGGCCGAATTCGCCCCAGGCCTCGACCTGCTCCGAGGGAATGTAGCTACCAACGTCCGCCATGATGGTCCGCTCGGGATGGGGCATGAGGGCGAAGACCCTGCCGTCTCTGCTCCTGACGCCCGCCACGCCGCCAGGGCTGCCGTTCGGGTTGTACGGGTAGCTTTCCGGCCCAGCGACGCGCAGACGGTTGTCAACGTACCTGAGCGGGACGAGGCCCTCGTCTGCCAAGTTGTCGAGGGCATTGGGGCTTGCAAAGGAGGCCCGGCCCTCGCCGTGCGAGACGGCGATGGGGAAGGACGAGCCGTCCATGCCGTGGAGGAAGACGGACGGCGTCGCGGCGCGGGACTCGTCGATCTTGACCATGGTGAAGCGCGCCTCGAACTGCCTGCTGGCGTTCTCGACGAACGTGGGCCAGTTCTCGGTGCCGGGGATCAGCTCCTTGAGGCGCGTGATCATCTGGCAGCCGTTGCACACGCCCAGCGCGAAGGTGTCGGGGCGCTTGAAGAAGTTTTCAAACTCCTGGCGCGCGTGCTTGTGCTCGAGGATGGACTGGGCCCAGCCGACGCCGGCGCCGAAGACGTCGCCGTACGAGAAGCCGCCGCCCGCCGCGACGCCCACAAAGTCGGCGAGCGACCTGCCGGCAAGGACGTCCGACATGTGCACGTCGATGGGGTCGAAGCCGGCCGCCTTGAAGGCGAAGGCCATTTCGCGGTGACTGTTGACGCCCACCTCGCGAAGGATGGCGACGCGGGGCGCCTTGCGGAGCAGGCTGCCCAGAGACGCCGTCAGGGGCATGATGTTCTCCGAGGGGGAGAAGGTGAGGTTGTACGACAGACCCGGGTCGGTGGAGTCGGAGACGAGGGCGTACTCGCTGTCGGCGCATGCCGGGTTGTCTCTCTCCCTCTGCATGGCGTACGACGTCCTCGACCACCACTTCTGCATCTCGGCGCGGTCGAGGCTGACAATGGGTGTGTGGCCGCCGTAGCGGATGTTGAGGGTCTGGTTGGCCTTGGGCTGAACAACGCCGAACTTGCGAATGAGGCCGGGGGGAGGGCCGCAGGTGGCGAAACAGCGCTTGAAGTTGGTCTCGTCCTCCTTGCGGACCTGGAAGACGGCGCCGAGCTCCTCGTGGAAGAGGGCCTCGAGAACGTCGTTGGGAGAGCCGGACTTGGCGATGCCGTCGAGCATGAGGTCGACGCCGCAGCGGCCGGCGAACATCATCTCGGCGACGGCAGTGATGAGACCACCGTCGGAGACGTCGTGGTAGGCGAGGACGACACCGCTCTTGTGCAGTTGCTGCAGCGCATCAAAGTAGTCCGTAATGAGATCCACGTTGCGCACATCGGGTGCCTCGTTGCCCATCTGTCCCAGTGATTGTGCCAGGGCAGAGCCGCCCATGGCCTTCTTGCCCTCGGCGAGGTCAACGTACATGAGGATCGTCTCGCCGACATCCTCGACGCGGCGGAGCTGGGGAGTCCAGGTGTTGCGCACGTCGTCGACGACGGTGACAGCGGTAATGATGACGGACATGGGCGCCGTGACGCTCTTGGCCTCGCCAGACTCGCGGTCCTTCCACGACGCCTTCATCGAGGTGGAGTCCTTGCCGACGGGGATGGAAATCTTGAGCTGGGGGCACAGCTCCATACCGATGGCGCGGACGGCCTCGTAGAGACCAGCACCCTCACCAGGGTGGTTAACGGCGGCCATCCAGTTGGCGGACAGCTTCACACGGTCCAGCTGACCGAGGAAGTCAGCGGCGCCAAGGTTGAGCAAACTCTCGGCGACAGCCATGCGGGCGGAGGCAGCAGGGGAGATGAGAGCGAGCTGAGGCTTCTCGCCCATGGCCATGACCTCGCCGGTGCGGGTGCTGGAGCCAAGGCTAAACGAGGTTGCGGTGACGGCGCAGTCGGCGACGGGAGTCTGCCAGGGACCGACCATCTGGTCGCGGACGGACAAACCGCCGACGGTCCTGTCGCCAATGGTGATGAGGAAAGACTTGGAGCCGACGGCAGGCATGCGGAAGACGCGCTCAGTAGCTGCGGTGATGAGGGCGGCAGAGTCGGTGGCCCCAGCAACGCCGGCTGCAGCCAGAGCAGAGGCAGCGTTGAAGGTAGGTAGCTCCAGTCTGCGGGACTCGACGACACGCTCGAGACGGCGGCCAGGAGGGAAGAGAGCGTTGAAGGGGAGATCGATGGGCATGGGGTTCTCGGGAGAGTCGCGGTCGCTGAGGGTCAGCTTGGCGTTGCCCTCTGCGTCTTTGGCGACGACAGTTCCAACGTCAGAGAAGGGGCATCGTTCGCGGCCTATGAACTTTGGTCAGTGGGGGGACAAGGGCGTGTTTGCACAAAAGGGGGTGACTCACGGCAGATGCTGACGAAGCGGTTGACGTTCTCCTTGTTGACGAGCAAGACGTAACGCTCCTGAGCTTCATTGCACCAAATCTGCAGAGGGCTCATGCTGCTGTCTGCGCTGTGCACTTGACGGAGCTCGAACTTGCCACCGAAGCCAGCATCCTTGACAAGCTCGGGGAGGGCGTTGGACAGACCGCCAGCGCCGACGTCGTGGATCATGGCAATGGGGTTCTGCTCGCCAAGGGCGGCGCAGGTGTCGATGACCATCTGGGCGCGGCGCTCCATCTCAGGGTTGCCACGCTGAACACTGGCAAAGTCCAGCTCGGCGGTTTCCTCGTTCGAGGCACTGCTGGAGGCGGCTCCTCCACCGAGACCGATGAGCATGGCGGGACCGCCAAGGACGATGGCGTGGGCGCCATCGTGGACGTCTCCGAGCTCCTTGAGAGCGTGCTGCGGGCGGACGGTTCCGACACCACCAGCAATCATGATGGGCTTGTGGTAACCGCGCCACTCAGGAGAGTCCTCTTGGCCGACATTGGTCAGGAGAGTGCGGAAGCAACCGAGCAGGCAGGGCCTGCCAAACTCGTTGTTGAAGCGAGCACTACCGATGGGGGCCTCCAGCATGATGTCAAGACTGCTGGCGAAGTGAGCAGGCTTGCCAAGGTCAACCTCCCAGGGGGCCTTCTCATCGGGAATCAACAGGTCCGACACCCAGAAACCGCAGAGACCGGCCTTGGGGGCAGAGCCCCGACCGACGGCGCCCTCGTCGCGAATCTCACCTCCGGCACCAGTGGCAGCACCGGGGAAGGGGGAGATGGCGGTAGGGTGGTTGTGCGTTTCAACCTTGACGAGAACGTGGACGACCTCCTTGGTCAGCTTCCAGCTACCAGTGGAGTAGTCAGGGGCCCAGAAACTGGCAGTCTCTCCCTGGAGAACGGCGGCGTTATCACTGTAGGCAGAGACGGTGAAGTTGGGGTTGGACTTGTGGGTGTTCTTGATCATCTCGAAGAGACTCTTGCCCATCTGCTGCTGGTCAATGGTCCAGTTGGCGTTGAACTGCTTGTGGCGGCAGTGCTCCGAGTTGACCTGGGCGAACATGAAGAGCTCCACGTCGTGAGGATTGCGCCCGAGGCGCTTGAAGACCTCGACGAGGTACTCGATCTCGGAGTCGTCCATGGCCAGGCCGAACTGCTTGTTGTAAGACTTGAGAGTGTCCACGGGGTCAGCGTTGCCGAAAATGTCGACGATCTCGAGGGGGAATCTTTGGCCCTCGATGAACATGGCGGACAGGTCAGGGCGAGACAGGCCAATGGTCTCGGTCATGCGGTCGTAGACGATATCCTTGAAGGCAACATCGTCCTCCGAGACGGGGTTCTCAAAGTTGATGGTGATGGCGCGGCCACGCTCAATGCGGTCAATGTGGTCTGAAAGACCGCAGACGTGAGTGATGCTGGTTCCCTTGGATGACCAGGGCGAGATGTTCCGCGGGGTGACATAGTACGTCTTTTGGGATTCAGTGTTGGCGGCGATCTGAGCATTGGTTTGGTCGGGCAGGCCGAGCCACTTTGTCAGCTTCTGCTGGACGATGAGGTTGTTGTCGCTGTTCTTGAGGTGGACGTAGTAGACCCAGATGCCGGTGACACTGGCGACCTTGTTGGAGTCTTGGATTTTGTTGATGCGCGTCTTAAGCTCATCGGCCTGTTTGGCAGTGTAGGCCTCGGAGCCGACGAGAGTAAGGAACTCCATCTTGCCTACTGTGGGCGTAGGACACGGGGAGCTGCCAGCGATCAATGGGGAAGTCTCTCCCGGAGTGGCGGATGGCGATAAAGACAAGTTTTTGGGCGGCGGCATCTTGAGTGAGTCGGCCTCCGATATGGCGGGGTGATTAACAAAATTTTGGCGGGGCAGCTAGGCTGCAGATAGACGATAAGAGTGGTTGGAAATTGGCGTCTTGGTACTTTTCTTTTTTCATGGCGGGGCACTTTTCCGTTTTGTGGCTGGAGTGGCTCGCTCTAGTCAGTTCCCCCTCCGCACCCGCCATTTCCTGTGGGTGTCGCGACAAGTGTCAGTCTTCTCCAGACCAAACTTCAAGTGTTGCCGCTCCTGGTTCCAGTGTCTGGGCGTCAGGGGCGCATGAATTGTGGCTGAAGTCCTCCCATCCTCTTAACCCAAGTGACAGACGGGAGGTCCCCGCTGTTACTGCCATCTTCGGCCTGTATCGGCCTGTGGCTGGTGAGGCACATGGGGACAAGGCGGCAGAACACGGCCCCAGAAAAAAAAGAGGCGAAGAAAAATTCATGAAAATCAATGCGAGTCGCGTCTCTGGCCAAAAGTGTATGCGGCCTCAGGCCAAGGCATGATGATGTGTGCGCCATGTACTATTGAGACGACGAGAAAGGCGAGGACTGGAACAACGTGCTGGTTCATGCCTGGGCATGTCATCGCAAAATTTCCATCCGATGGGCCCGAACCGAGCGTAGGTCACTATTTCTCTGCTGGCTGGCTGGCTGGCGCTGGCACTTTGCAGGTCGGTAGCAATTCATCACCTTACGGATTCAATGGCAGGACAGCGCTGGACGGGCAAGGTTTAGCGCGCCCGTCCAGTCGTAGCGCGCCTGTCCTTCCGCCCTGAGTCCCGCTATAAGATGGGCCAAAGTTTCGGGACTCCGGGATCCTCCCACGTCCCCCGTTCCCTCAAGGTCTTGCTGTGTCGTGTGTCTGAGTGGCTGTCAGGTGGCAGGTTTACTTTCCTCCCTTCCGCCCGTGCTCTCCACTGCCGCGAGTTGATAAACCCTGTCATCGTCGAAACTGTCCCGCTGGAATTCGCGGTACAGACCAGACTCGGGACATTGGGACTAGGGCGACGTCAGCGCAGAAACAAGCAATTCGGTCCTCGCTGGTAGGCAGTCCAACCTGTCTTGGCTGCCAGTTTATTGGCTCCCCTAAAAATATACGCATACCCATCTTCTCCAATTTCAGATCGGCCTCAACGACTCTGCGACCGCCCGCCTGCAACCCAGTGTGTCCGCCGCGCTCCGCTTCGTCACTTCTTTTCTTCCGAGTTTCGACGCGTCCGCCAGCATCTTTGGACGAAAGAATTCACGTCCTCTTTTCCCACCCATCTCCTACAACATTGGCCTTCGCTGTCACCGATTTGGTCGCCTACGTTTCTTAACCTCTTGCGCGCTGCAACATCGAGAAACCATGCGCTGGTTAACGTCCTTTGCGGGCTACTTAGCCCCAATCTTCCTCATCATGTCGCCCGTCCTCTCCTACAGCGACCAGGCCTTGTCGATGCACAAGAAGAAGTCCAGCGCTGGCTTCTCCCTCGACATCCCGCTGATCATGCTGGTGGCGTCCCTGCTGAAGTGCGTCAATCTCTTCTAACCCGTTGCTTCCGGAACAAGGCTAACACTTTACCTCTCCCATAGGATCTTTTACTGGCCTGGCGCGCGATTTGATACTGCCTTGCTCATCCAGGCGCTTCTGATGATTGTGATGCAAGTCATCTTGCTCAAGATTGCTCTCGACCACCGTCTGCCCCCGTCGTCCAAGGGAGGAGAGGCCGCGACGCCGTTTGCGAACATCAACGATGGACCCGTCTTTGGGGCACAGAGGCCCTACCACTTTTGGCAGTGGAGGTCGCCCAAGCCGTGAGTCCTTGGCCTTGCGCCATCCTACCTTGCCTGCGACTGACACACGACATAGCTACTGGCAATTCCTGCTCTACCTCTTCATCGGCCTGACCGTCTGCGAACTGCTCCTCGCCCCCGTGCGACCCCTATACCAGACCTACTCGATGCTTATCGGCTACATTGGCCTTTCGGTGGAGGCGACGCTGCCCCTGCCTCAGATCTTTGCCAATGCGCGGTCCAAGTCTTGCAAGGGCTTCCGCCTCTCCGTGCTGGCGAGTTGGCTGATCGGTGACGCCATGAAGATGTTCTGGTTCTTCACCTCCACGACGGAGATCCCCTGGGCTTTTAAGCTTTGCGGTATGTTCCAGGCGTGTTGTGACTCGTTCCTCGGCGTCCAATACCTCATGTACGGCGACGGCGAAAAGGGCGAGATCAAGGAGCACCCCATGTCCCAGTACCCTCAGTACCCAAACGGCGTCTACAAGCCGCCTCTGCCGGAGCACGTCAGCGGGAGGTCCAGTCCCGCTGGCCGTAGAACCTCTAGTCCATACGGCAAGGAGCTGCGATAAGTCGCTGATGGTGCAATTTTCTGCATGTTCTACTGCACCAGTGTTTGGTTTTTCCGGTTTCCATCGACATATACAGCCCGCATAGCAACGTTGTAAATATTGCGAGATGCGGCAAAGATATGGTTGGTAGCTTAGACAGGGATTAGACAGGGCGTTTCAGGGGCTAAGAGCCTGGGGCCAATTGTAATTGTCGTGGGAATGCAGGGGTTTTCTGGGGAGCGAGGTGAGCTCAACCGTCTCTGCGCAAGCGCAAAAGTCGTTACTCGATGTTAGCGACTACTTGGCTTGTCGTCTTCCGAAGGCGATACTGGCATCATGAATGGCGTAAGAATTGTTCTTCAGTGCGAGGAATATCTGTCTCGATACCCAATTCATATAAATATATTTTTAAAGTGAGGCGCGATTGTTTCGATCCGTTGCACTTTCGAGGAACTCGTCGTCAAAGTACCTTCTTACCCAGAAAGCACCAAACATCGCCGGTGCCCAGGAGTTCTAGAGGCTTTCCCAGCCTCTCACTTTTCAAGTTGGCCACCCAACTGCCAACTGCCGTACCACACCATCATCGTCTTCAACTGTGATCTCGAGGCCTCTAGCAACTTAGAGATATCGTGCCCATTACCTACCTACTCAATTCACTCCTTGCAAAAATATTTCACTTTAATCCTTACGATTCCATACCCTGCGACCCACAATCCGCTCTTTGACCCCATTCCGATATCTGTTTACTTTTCACCCGGCCAACCAGCGATAAAATCGCTGGTCAACGAGGTCCTACAGGCGTAAGAACCTATTGTTAGCCGGCAATTCGCCAGTTCAACAATTCGAAACTAACAAGACGCCCGATAGCTCGTTGCTAGTCTGATACTTAGTCTAAGCGGCTTCGCCGTTGACTTCAACTCGATCAGCATTCATCCCAGTACCCATCTACCGGGGAGCTTGGGTGTTCCTTGTACTTCTTCGACTACCTACAGCATTTGTCTTCCTCAAAGAAGACTCGAGGAGACTCATAGATAGCATCGTCTGCTAAGGTTCGACAACTTCGAGGCCAGTCTCTTGCCGTCTGGAATCGGCTGGACTGTACAAGACTGAAGACCCGAAAGGGGCCTCATCAAGGTAAGCATACTAGTGTCTCCTTGTCCTCTATCCGCTCTTCCCTACCTCTCAGTGCTAGTGCTGTGCAATTGCTGGCTTCTGCCCTGCGCTGTACTGCCACCATTTCACACAACATCCCTATCTCTCTGCGCTGCATACGAGCATGTCTTCTGAATGCGTATGCCAACTGGTCACCGCTCCCGCAAGCCTGCTCAACTTAAGACCCGGACCTGAGGTGCAGTTGGCATCCTATGAAGGTATCTACTGGCAATCTCAGAGTGAACCCGTGTAAGCCAGGGTAAGAGTGCTCCTGCCTCGTGCTATCCGGAGTGTATCTACATCACTGTCCGCCAGTGTTGTGATCACATCAAGTGATCTTGCCTTGGACAAAGTATTCAGCTTTGGCAGCTGCGTGCACTTTCTACTTTGAACTTTCCTAATGGTCCTCTGCAAATTGGTCCATGAAGAGTGACCCCCAAGCTGGAACCCGTTCCTGACTTCTTGTCTTCTTGGCCTCAGCACCACAACACTTGATCAAGCCGCGGCTAACATACCTCCCTGCCCTTAAGCCTGACGGCCATACCTGCCATACGGTCATTCGTGCTCTCTCGTCATTCCATGTAGGTAGTACCCAGCTTGGCTGCTCTTTCCCTCCAGACCTCCCTTACGTTATACACCAGCTTCCTGCTTTTTCCCTCAGAAGTGCACCCACTAGATCCGGCCTCTACTCCCTTTCACTTTATATCTCAAACTCTCATCCTCTCTCCTCATCTCGCCCTCCAAACTCAATGCTTACATCTGCACAGAAATACAGCACTTAGCAACTTGACGTATATTTTAAGCGACAGTCTCGAGGCATCAGTCGTATACTACGAGTGTACAAATCCTCAAATCGAGAACTCTCTCCTTCCACTATTCAAACAGTAAGTTCATAGAAATCCGCTCCTGCTAATTTTGCCTGCCTTCGTCCTCTTACTACTCCGTCTTTCCTTGGTCTTCTGTGCCACCACTCCTTCTTTTCCTCACTCATCTCTACTTCACCTACTACATCTCACCCCACCACACAAATCTTCTACTCCACACCACACTACCTTCAATATCAAACCCAACCTAACGTTCTATCAGAAGTCTCATCCCAAACAGGAAATATCTTTTGCACACGTTTTCTCTCATCGCTCAGGTATGAATGTTCCCACTCATTGCCGCTCTCGCCCCTGCGTCCCAAACACTCATGGGGCTTCAAGATCATCTCAACATCTGAATACTAACATACTGCCTATAGAGAACGCACATCACAATGGCTCCCGCCAATTTCAAGACCTACGAGGCCCAGGCCCGCCTTCTTCGTGCCATTGTGGCTGCTCATCCGGAGGTCAAGTGGAACTATAAGGGTAAGATCTGCTCCTATCTTCTTGCATTCTTGTCATCATCGCCCTCATCATTCCTACCCTCAACTCATCGCCGGTTCTGGTTGTCTATTCCGATCCTCGTTGTCGACGTCATTTCTGACGTACGGCAGATATCCAAAAGTATTACGGATCGGATATGACCAAGGATGCTCTCAACCATCGGTTCAGAGCTATTCGCAATCATATCTGGACGCTTCAACAAGCAGACGAACAGGGCGTCGACTGCAAGGACATCCCCGTGGACCTGCCCAAAGAGAAGAAGGGTAAGGCTGCTTCACTGCTTCCTGCCCTATCTGTGCTTTTCAGCCTGTCCCCTATGCCCTCACTTTCACTGCGCCATTTTTTCTTCTTCTTGACTACCTGCTCGCTGAATACGCCGCGAATTAGAATCGCGCAGTCACCGTTTGATTGTGAATATCTACTGACGTGAGATAACAGAGATTGCCAAATATTTTGGCGAATCCACCACCGATGGCATCCAGTTCCAGTTCCGAGGTATCAAGAAGGACGCCGAGTCCCTCAAGCAGACGGCCAACAGCGGTGGCAACCCCGCCACCGCCTTGAACCTCCCGGCTAGTGCGACCTCCAGCGCCTTCTCGACTCCTCGCAAGCCGCGTACTCCTTCCACCAAGACCCGCGTCTCGGGCGGTGGTCGCTCGACCACCGCCAAGAAGACCAAGCAGGTTAAGCCCGCCCCCGTCTCGGTCTCGGAGGAGGACGAAGAGGAGGACGAGGAAGTCGATTATAACGAACTCGAGGACACCCCCTCCAAGAGCCGCATCCGCGACCGCGTTCTCGACGGCCGCGTGTCCAAGAACACGCACACTCCGAACCCCCGCCGCAGCGCTACCCCGAGCCGTGCCGCTACCATCGCCGCGGCTGCCAACATTGCTCAGGCTGCCGCCGTTGACCTGACCACCTCTGACAGTGAGGTCAACACCCCCGACAACGCAGTAAGCTACGAGCTCCCTGCTCCTGTCGACGCAAAGCCCGCCGTCATGCAGCAGCAGACACAGATGCAGTCGATCTTTGGAGATCCCGCCGCTACTTATGAGCAGCCTGTCATCCAGCCTGTTGCTCAACCTGTCAGTCAGCCAGCTGCCAACGGCGGATACTCTGGTCACTCCAGTTTCGACCCATCCCAGGGTGTCGGCCTCTTCAACGATGATCCGCTCAACTTCAGCTTCGTTGACAGCATGGATCATGGCAGTGGCGACTTCAACCCCTACATGGGCAATGATGGCGAGATCTAAGAAAACTGTTCCGGCAATTAGAGGGGGGGACATTTAGAGATGAGAAACACTTTTAGGTCTGCTTTCGCGCTTGGTTTGTTTTCGCCATTTTGCTACCCAGACTGATTCTCCCCCTTTTCTCTATGGGTCTCTGGGACACCATCACTCGAATTTGGCGTTGGGTTTTCACTTTTCTATTAGCCCCCTTGGTGAAGGATTTCAAAACCTTGGGAAGCATGTACAAACACAACGGAAGGATAACGAACTGGCTCGTTTCGACTCGACTCTAGATAGTTGGTCTTTCCACCAGGCTCGCAGAGCTGTGATAAGTGGAAAAGATACACAATGAGATACCAAGGCACTGAGCCGATATGATTTGCATTTTTCGTTCCATATGCCATGCAGTCCGTAATGGAATATCGGTCGGTTTTTTTTCTTCTTTACTTTTGTTATTTTGGCAATTTGTCACAAAATAAATTGCTTTCTTGCTCATGCGTTGCTCAAGTAGCAATGCCTACAACAACACATACTCGGACCCCAAAATTGACAGCGAGAGGCGACGGTCTCAGTGGCGAACATGACGGGTATCTTCTTTTTCTTTTTGCTACTATTCGGGGGAGGTAATTGCGACTAGGTATACAGAAGAACCGTGCCCGCTGATTACTCAAATTTTCTCTTTTTTTCTTTTTCCTTTTGGCGCATGTCCTCCGACGGCCTCTATTTCTCCTTCTCACCCGACAGCAGCTTCCACAGCGCGTCCCTCTCAACGTAGTCGTGGTGGATGATGTTGACGAGCCAGTACTCGGAGCGTATCCGCTCCAGCAGGGCCTCGCTGTCGCTGCCCTTGCCGTAGACCTTGGCCCACTCACCCCAGATTTTGAAGGCCTCCTCGGCCCAGGCACGGAAGCTGACCTCCTCGATGATGGTGGGCGTGATGATCTCCTTGCCAGGGAAGACGCCCCACGTGACGGCGTTGGTGCTGGCCTCGGTGCCTTCGAGGACGAGCCCGCCGCTCGAGTCCGAGGACACAAAGTCGCCGGCGGCGTTGGCGGCGTAGAAGCAGATGGTGTTGTCCGTCACCTCGTTGAGGCGCGCGACGAGGCCGGCCCAGTCGGACAAGGGGATGAAGAGCTCGACAAAGGCTTTTTGGAAGACGAAGCCGTGCTGCGGGCCCCAGCCGAAGGTCGGGTCGCGAGAGGGGATGCCATTGACGGCGGGCTGGGAGGCGACGGTCCACCAGCCGCGCGTGTTGAGCTCGAGAAGCTCCTGCTGGATGATGTTGGATTCCGGGAGGAGCTCCTCCTCAGACCAGGGAATGGCGCTCAGCTGGCCCTTGATGTGGCGGATGAAGATGTTGTTGATGTCCTGGACCGTCTTGGGCGTGCCCCAGAGGCGGATGGCCTGCGTCACGGACATGTGCAGGCTGACGCCGTAGCCGTCGATCTCACCGTAGGCCGGGGAGCGGGCGTCACCCCAGCGACCGTTGGGAAAGTCATCCCACGTCGCCTCGCGACCGACGGCGCCGACGCCCTCCGAGATGGCGAGGGTATTGGCACGCGTGTTGAGGGGCTCCGAGACCGTGAGGCCGGCGGCCGTCGTCTCGTAGGCGGGATTCGAGGCCGAAGAGACGATGATGCGGTTGTGCGGGTCCGAGGAGCCCATGGACGAATGTCGGCGTCCGGACAGTGCACGCGCGGCCGGGTGAATTGGAGACAGGCCGTTGAGCTGGACTGCGGGTACGGAGATGGGGACGCCCGGGCCATCGTCGATGACGGCTTCCTCGTCGTCGAACTTGGGGTCGGGGATGAGGCCTGTTCTCTCGAGGATGAAGGAGACGGCCTTTTCAAGGTTGAGAGTGTAAAAGTGGAATCCCTTAGGGCCGGGCGTCCTGCTCTTGACCTCCTTGACCTGCTCCACGAGCTCGCTAAGGATGTCGACACCAACCTGCTTGACCTTCTCGTCATCGCCCTTGGCAGCGTCCAAGCGGGCCATGAGGCTGTCGGGGATCTTGGCGTGGCTGAGCTTGGTCGTTCGCTTGATCATCTGGTAGCTCTGGATCGGCATCAGGCCGGGGAGGAGAATGATGTCCTTGAAGGCACCGCTGGGGTGTTCTCTAAGAATCTTCTCAAATTTGTCGTAGGCCTTGATGTCGAAGAAGAGCTGGGTCATGATGAAATCCGCACCGGCTTGGACCTTGTCAACCAAATACGGCAAGTCGTGCTCGAAGCTCTGTCCCAGGGGGTGGCTCTCATCCGCATGTCCCTCGGGGTATGCCGCAACACCTATGCAGAAGTAGTCGCCATAGTTCTTGCGGATGTACTTGACCAAGTCCACGGCCCAGACGAAGTCCTCAGCATCATCTGCGTCGGAGTCCTCCGCATCGCGGTACTCATCCTTCCGGGGCGGATCGCCTCTGAGAGCCAGGATGTTGCGGATGCCCAATGCCTTTGCGTCCTCCAGGGCCTTGTCGATGAGCTTGCGGCTCATGTTTGTGCATGTCAAGTGAAGACAAGTCGTGAGGCCGAGCTCTCGTTGACATATCTCGGCCAGCTCCAGAGACTTTGTTGAGGTAGATCCGCCGGCTCCCCAGGTGACATTGACGAAGAGCGGCCGCAGCGCCCTTTCCATTCTATCCAGACGGTCACGAAGGTTAGAGAGACCCATTGCCGTCTTGGGCGGAAAGAACTCCAAGGAGAAGTAGTTGGCATCTGCCGGCAAGGCGGCGATCTTGTCTGTAATCTTCTCCATTTTGGATATGAGTCGGGACCTGAGATCTCGACTGGGACTCTCAGATGAGTTGGTGAAATGGTAGTGGTGCCTTCCTTCGGCAATACCGGTGAAGGGTCCCTCGAAAGAGTTGAACCGAGCTCCTTTGCTGTCGATATCAGACCGCGATGGAGGGGTAAGGCGGGGGGTTAAGTCTGAGAATTTGATACCGACTGGCAGGCAAGTGACGTGAAGAGCTTGGGGATCGGGAATGAAAAGGCAAGACAAATTGAGCAAGGGGGTCACAGCAGCCCAGGAGGAAGAGAGTTGATTGTCTCAATAGACCAGGGTTTGACGTGATTGGCTTGCTTGCGCTGTCGTCATTCCCTAGGAGTGTGTACCCACGAAGATATTGAAAGACATTGAAATGATTTTGGTGGGGCAGTATCTTTTTTGGAGATAGGAGCGCGTACTGTGCCGGCGACTTCGGATGCCACATTGTGAGACCGGCTAGAAGCGGTAGCGCACAGTGTTTGCAGCATCCCGCGACGGTTTTTAGTTATTCCGCCAACCCCTCTTGCTGGCCCGGTTACCCTGGAGAAGGAGCGTTTATTCGCAAGAATTGCAAATGCAGTGTGGACGACTTCCCTCTGAGACCTTGTGGCTACGGTTCCGTAGACTTTGGATACAGCGAGACAGAGACAGAGCAAAACCTCGAAAGTGAACCAATGCACAGCTTGGTCCCGTGTCACGGTGTTACCTACTCCATCGCTGTCACCTGCCCAAGATGATATGTCCCAGGGGTGCGCGGAGCAAATGACGTCCCCCTGCAGGACCATCTGCCACTAAAATTCCGCAGGGTAGTGGCGGAGCTGCAGGGGTTTTGGGCGCCATTTCGAAAAAGAGCTCTCAATTTTTGATGGAGCTGCAGCTACAAACGCGACTATTACTTTCCTTCGCTTCAAACCCGCGATAGTTTGACTTGTCGAATGACTCCAACCTCACCTCAGACCTCCACCGCCCACGACTTCCTTTCGATCATGTCCACAACACCTTACCAATGCAATTGATTTACGCGAAACACATTGGCCGTGTGTGGCCCACGCGGGCCATCGCGACCTTTGCCAAAACTACACGAGCTTCCCCAATCCTAGCTGCACGACAATCGCAGTCGTTTACAAGCCCATATCTAGCCCAAGCCACGCAGCGACGAAGCTACGCAGACACTAAGCTCGACTTCCCCGCTCTCGACAAGAAATGGCGCCAGCAGTGGGAAGCCTCCAAAGCGTCCAACTCCGAGGATGACTCCAGCAAGCCCAGCAAATATGTGCTCCCGATGTTCCCCTACCCGTCTGGCACATTGCACCTTGGCCATCTTCGTGTATACACGATCGCCGACGTTCTCGCTCGATATCACACGATGCAAGGGTCCCGCGTTATGCTGCCAATGGGATGGGACGCATTCGGCCTTCCTGCTGAGAACGCTGCCATCGATCGTGGCATTGCCCCCGCAACATGGACAAAGAGCAACATTGCCAAGATGAAGGAACAGTTGGAGGTTATGAACGGCAATTGGGACTGGGAGAGGGTTTGTTTCCAAGCCTTTTGTCCTGTTCTGGCTGACTCTTCCTCTTTCAGGAACTGACCACTTGCGATCCCGACTTTTACAAGCACACCCAAAAGATTTTTCTGATGATGCTCGAGCGTGGATTAGCCTACCAAACCGAAGCGGAGGTTAACTACGACCCTGTTGATATGACGGTGCTGGCCAATGAGCAAGTCGACGCCAATGGATGCTCCTGGAGATCCGGTGCCAAGGTCGAGAAGCGACAGCTTAAGCAATGGTTCTTCCGTATTTCCGAGTTTAGAGAAGCCTTGCTAAAGGATTTGGATACCCTTGCCAAGGATGAAGCTTGGCCCGAGAGAGTCCTAGCTATGCAGAAGAACTGGCTCGGCAAGTCGACGGGCGCCGTAATTAAGTTCCCCGTCATGGCCATGGGCCACGATATCCATGCAGGCATCGAGGTCTTCACGACGCGGCCGGATACGCTCTTCGGGGTCCAGTATGTCGCACTGGCCTCAACTCATCCCATTGTAGTCCAATTGGCGAAGAGCGACCCCGAGCTGCAGGCTTTCCTGGATACTCTGCCGGGACTACCTCGCGACTCCAAGGTCGGCTACATGTTACCACACGTGAGGGCTATCAACCCTCTGGCATACCATGAAGAAACTCCCGACGATACCAAAAAATCTATCCCCGTGTACGTCGCGCCGTATGTGCTAGGGGACTATGGCGAAGGCGCCGTCATGGGTGTTCCAGGCCACGATCTGAGAGATAACGCCTTCTGGAAGGAACACCGCTACGACGAACCCGTGAGATTCGTGATTGCGGCGTCGGAAGACGAGTCAACATCCGTAATGGCGAACGATCCATTTGTTGAGCATGGTGTCATGACAGCTACTAGCGGACCCTTCAAAGGGAAGTCTTCCGAGCAGGCAGGCCAAATTCTCGTCTCCATGCTTGAGGCAGCCGAGCTGGCCAAGCCGGTTGAGAAATGGAGATTGAGAGACTGGTTGATCAGTCGCCAGCGTTACTGGGGAACGCCTATTCCCATTATCCACTGCGGCTCCTGCGGCGCAGTTCCTGTTCCGGATAACCAGCTACCAGTTACATTGCCTGATGTTAGCGACCATTGGACAAATGGCAAGGCTGGTAATCCCTTGGAGAGGGCAGAGGAATGGGTTAACACCAGCTGTCCCAAATGTGGTGGCCACGCCAAGCGTGACACCGATACCATGGATACATTTGTAGACTCGAGTTGGTACTACGCGCGCTTTGTGGACCCCCACAACTCATCAGAGCCCCTATCTGCCGAAGTTGCCAAGGCCCTGCCCGTAGACTTGTACATCGGCGGCATCGAGCATGCCATTCTGCACTTGCTCTACGCCAGGTTCATCTACAAGTTTCTGGCCACAACACCATTGTTCCCCAGCTCGAGCGAACCCGACGCTGTTCAAGAGCCTTTCAAGAGACTCATTACGCAGGGAATGGTGCACGGCAAAACGTACACTGACCCTAAGTCTGGCAAGTTTCTCAAGCCAGACGAGGTCGACTTGAAGGACCCATCGAACCCCAAAGTCGTAGCCACAGGAGCTACGGCGAACGTGTCGTTTGAGAAGATGTCCAAGTCCAAGCACAACGGAGTTGATCCCACCGAGTTCATCTCCAAGTACGGCGCCGATGCGACACGAGCTCACATTCTCTTCCAGGCGCCTGTAAGCGATATCCTCAACTGGGACGAGGACAAAATTGCCGGTGTTACGCGTTGGCTTCACAGGCTGCATGATCACGCAGCAAAGCTCCAGAAGATGTCCAGCGAGGAGAAGTCTGTTGTAGCATACCTCGAGGAACGATCAAGCAACTTGTCTTCTTTGAGCGACAGCGAGCTGGCCGCTTGGGATGCTGACGCTGCCGTCTGGCGAGCCGTCCAGGGCGCCATCGAATCCATCACTCAGTCCTACGAGACTGTCTACTCTATGAACACCATCATTTCAGACCTTATGAGTCTGACAAATACGCTCTTGGACAATGCAGGAGCAAGTACGCTCATTCAGAGAGAGGCCATGTCTGTCCTCCTCCGGATGATGGCCCCTGTTGCGCCTGCAATCTCTGAAGAGTGTTGGAGTCTTCTCCACCCCAACTCGGGCTCCATCTTCGGATCCGCTGCTTTTCCTACGAAGGACAATACCACATCGTTGCTAAAGCCTCGCACGCAGCCTCTGGCTATCCAGATCAACGGCAAGCTGCGCGGCGTCGTTGAAGTTCCCAACCCTCCTTCGAGTCTTGAGGGCGAGGCGTTGCGGGAGTGGATGGTAGCGGAGGTCCTGAAGTCGGATGAGGGCAAGGCGAAGTTTGCAGGAGGTCAATTCGACGTGACATCGCCGAAGAGGGTCATCCTGGCTCGTGGTGGCAAGACCATCAATTTTGTAGTCTAGAAGTGTAAAAGTATGTAAGATACCCGGTACTTTGTACAACGTAGAAATCAAAGAACAAACTTCACTTTTCAGCATCTTGGTTCCCTTGATCACTGGTGCCTCCCCAAGAATGGCTGTATCACGCAAGGCGCAGCGTGGTTACACGGCGCCAACGAGTGTCTAGGCTTGAGATCAAGTAACAGGCGGATGGCGTCGCAGTTGTTCAACGAATGCCAGAAGCTGGGTTATTAGTGAATGACTACAATTTGGCTTGCGTATGTGCGTCTGAAAAGTATGCTGATTGTAAGGCCATCTCTAAGACTAGCTTTGGTAATCTAGATGTTCTAGTGATGCTAAGACTGATCTGTCTAGGATGAAACTCCCCTTCTCTCGGTCATGCTTCTACTTTTTCGCACCGTAATATCGCTACCTGGTTTTCGATCCCTGAACCTTCCCCTGTGCGCCTCATGTGTCGTAACTCTTCTATCATCTTTCATCTACTCATGTCTTCATAGAATCTTCGAAACCACTAACTCGCCCTCGCCACCCTCGATCTCCAGGAACGAGCCCGTCTCGAGCTTCTTCTTCCACTTGTTGCTTTCATATCTCCCTAGTATCATCGTCATACGCAGGAGAGCCCCTTCGCTGGAAGCATGCTCAGCACTGCCCTCTGCAATAGGGGTGAACGTCCACCGGCCAAATGCCCAGTTGAGGATATACCGCGACTTAGGGTGAGGTGGTGTAGGAATCTGGGCATCTTCGTCGGAGTCTCTGACCGTCGCCGACGCCGTCAGAACAGCCTTGATACGGTACACCTCGTCCTTGGGTGCCGCGCGTAGCAAGCTCTGCAGCTTGTCCGCATTGACAGCAGCATCCTTGGGTCCCTTGAGCTCGACCGACAGAACCTCAACCTCAGTCTGGTGGTCGTGCGAGTGGTTCTCCCCCTTATGATCGTGGTCATGCGCATGATCTTCCGTCAGGCCCTGCGCGAGGCCACCATCCACGCCAAAGACGAGGTCGGCGCCGACCCAGCCTTTCTTGCTCTTGACCCATGGGATATCGACCTCGAGATCGCCTACCCTGTCGAGAACCTCATCGAAGCGGTCCTCGGAACACAACTCCCACTTGTTGAAAACAATCAGGTCCGTGTACTTCGCTTGGATGCGCGCCGTGTAACTTGTGTCCTCGTAGCCCTTCCAGTTCTCCGTGTCGATGACGCTGATGACTCCGTCGAGAGTGTAGTTGCCCGTCTCGCGCGCGAGGCGGTTGACCTCGAGGGCCAGGGTCGCGGGAAAGGCGGAGCCGCTCGTCTCGATAACGATGCGGTCCGGGCGGACGGTCGAATGCAGCTCGGCAAGAGCGACACTCAGCTGGCCAACCAGGTTGCAGCAGATGCATCCGTTGAGGAGCTCCTGCACGCCCGAGATGGCGTTAGAAGACGCCAGCTGCGAGTCGACAGCTAGATCGCCGAACTCGTTCTTGAGAAGGGCGAGCTTGTACGACGGGTTCGCGGCCTTGAGCTGAGGGAGGAGGTTGAGGATCAGCGTTGTCTTGCCGGAACCGAGGAAACCGGTGATGATGGTGATGGGAATCGGCGCCATGATGGGCAGGGCGTGAAGAAAAAACAAGAGTGAGCGTCGGGAACTCTACTATCAACGAGCAGAAGTTGGCGGGAAAGAGAAGCCGTTAAAGCTTTGATGTTAAGTGTTGAGATCACATCAGATCACATAGAAATTTTTGGTTGAGGAAAATGCCGCCGCGCCGCCGCCGAGAAAGCGGGTGTCCAACGTCGTGGTGGGATGGAGGGGCTTGGGGGCGCCCAGTGAGGCCGATAAGACACCGATAATTTCCGATAAGACATCCTTCAGTTGGAGTGTTTAAGGTTATCTTAGCGGGCAGCCAAGCGGACTGCAATGCCGAGCTAGGCGGTTTGACGTCATTGGCCCCAGTTTGCGGATGCCTCACACCACCTTTTCCTGCATCATTCTTCGACAAGAAAGCAGGCAAGCAAGCACCGCAGGTCCAGACCAGCCCCAAAGAGTACCTCGACCAGCCAGAGCGATCCCGCCCAGACCTATGCGATCATAATTCGGGACTGGACGCGCGGTCGTCTCCTGCAATTCAGGTCCTTACGGCCCATCGGCTCCAGTCGCCTACGTTGGAATCGACCTATTACTAGAAGTAGCCCCTTCCCCAGCCCAGCCCTTTTGGGCTATTTCCCACCCTTCCATCTCACCTTCTAGTCCCATCAATGCCTGCTACTCAGCCACAATCAATAAGCTCAATCCGTGTCTGCTGAATCTGGATATCAAAAACCAAGCCCTTTCTGTCGCTATCGTCCTCCTCATCTCTGCGGCGTCTCACATCACAGTAACCCCTCTTCCATCTCAGCCCTACAACGTTGAAGACAGGCGATCACTCCAGCCGAGCCCTGCTACCACACCACTAGCCGCCAGCATAGCGACCCTTCAACATGTCTGCGGATCCCAACAGCAAGTTTGCGCCCGAGCCGAAGACCCAAAACAAGGGTCGCGAGCTGAGCTTCAAGCAACAGCTGGACCAGGCTGCCCACGATGCACGGAAATCTGACGATGAACCCAACCAGAAGTCACTTATTGAGAAAGGTATGTGTTACCAACAAACTCCCCATCTCACATCCACAGCATCAAGTCATGAAGCTTCTCGCCCCACCGTAGCACATTCCAACCTCCCTGTTTCCCTCTGTGTCTGGGTACGTTTAGCTCATCGGCATTTCAAAAAGTGACACAGTACATTCCGGCCGCCACCAAGATCCTCGGCAATCCGCAAGAGGAGAGAGACGAGAAGATTTCGCGGCCTGGAATCCCTGGACCCCCGGAGCGCCCGTACAACGACGCCCAGGTCGAGGAGTTCATCCGGCAACAGCATCGTAGCAAGGGAGAAAACGGCTTGCTGGAATGAGCACGAACCGCGCGAATGGAAACACCGCCATGAGTCCTATCCCTTCCCAGGAATACCACAGTTTGGATGGATTGTCATTGGATTGGCGTTATGCTGTTATGATTCCACACAACCACGAGCACCTACGACGAAAACGCAGCTGGCTTTGCACTTATATCTTTCGATGTCATCCCGTCGACCAAGTGTGTCAAAAGCTTGGCGGCGATCCATGCGCAGGGAAACACTCGAGACACTACACGCCATTAGCAAAAAACTCCAACAACCCCCTTAAACTCAAATACAGAGGACCGAAGGCGAAGGTGAGGAGAAAAGAAAAAACCCACATGAGGGGTCCTGTATTCGTACTTGAATCTGAAACTCAAAATGATGGATATACCGCCACACCCGAGGGCCCTTTGTCCACCTATGTCGACTCCATTAGGCACAGTTGCCCACAAATGACGCCTATTCATGACACAATTGACAATGCTCCAAATCGAAACGCCGACACCGAAGGCGAGAATTCGAGGGGTCCAACCGTGTTCACAGACCCTGTCTCTCGCTCCCCCTTTTTGCAAGCGAGCGAACCAACATACCAACCAGCAATACTTGACACGTGCCTAGATCATACATGACCGTCCTAAGCAAAGATGGTCAAGCCGGCAGCCATTGCAATACCGCAGAAAAGACCAAGGCTTTTCTTGAGAGACGGCGCGGAGGCAACGAGGACCGTTGATGGCTTGGTAGGGTTGGGACCGGAGGCGCCCCCGGGGCACCAGCGACATCAGATTGGCCGGGTTGGCCACCGGCACCAGAAGCACCAGGGGCGCCGGGCTGGCCGGGCGCACTCTGGTCGTAGGAGCCGTAGCCACCGTAAGCACCGTATCCGGGAGCCTGGCCCTGGATGTCGGAAGAAGCGCCGTTGGCACCGCCACCGTTCCCACCTGGGTTGGAACCACCACCACCAGGCTGACTGCCGCCATTCTGGTTGTTGGCGCCGCCACCGCCGCTGTAGGAGCCATAGCCTCCATAGGCGCCATAGGGGGCGGCGGTGACGGCAGGATTCGCGTTTGCAGTCACGCCGTTGCCGTTGATGACGACATTGGCGGTCGGGGTCGGGATGGGGCAGATGATGGGAATGGTCTTCTGGGCGCAGGGCTCGCAGTAGATGGTGGTCTCGGCGAAGCAGGGGGGAATGGCCCTGGTCTTGTACTCCCACGGCCAGCCGGTGCAGACCTCTGTGATGGTGTATGTGGCCATCCACGAGGTGGTGGGGTTCGCGGCGATGGCTGTCGTTGTGTACACGGTCGTGTAGACAGTTTGAGTCGCGGCCGGGTCGCAGGTGACAAAGGCCGAGGTGGTGATCTGCCCGAGACTGTGGCTGTGTCAGTCTTTTACTCGATTCCGTCCATGGCGTTGTGGGTGACGTACCTCATATTACCAATTATTTAGTACGCGCTCTAGGAAACTAAATGAGAGTAGCAATGGTCGGTGTGTATAAGTGTATTGGGTGGTGAACGAGTGATTTAGATTGAGCTGTACAGAACGAGCGACAGACGGGATATTCAACATGGAACGAATGTGAAGGGGAAGAGTCCAACGATGAACTGGGTAAAGAGAGTTATCTGCCAGAGGAGCGGATGACAGAGGGCAGCGGCAAGACGAAACAAATGGGGGGAGGAACAGGCTAAAAACGAGCCCTTCTCATCACAACCGGGCAGCCTTCGTCTTGTAAGGGACTTGGAAGGGCGTTGACGGGCCCAGGAAGGGGATGTTCGACCTGACACGGAAGCCGGACCCCTAGGTAAAGTTAACCTCGACCCTGGTATAGTATGAGGGCAGTCAAGCAATATGGAGGGGGAACAAGTCGGCATTGCGACGCATTCCTCAGTCGAGGCCCGGCCAACGATGTGTCGCTTAGGGAGCCGTTGACATCCAGCATCTTCTCACGCCTATGAGAGGGAAACGACGGCGTGGTCCCCTTCAGGCTACCTTGGTGCTGGAACAACGCGGCAGACGAGAAATATTGAATAGGGAAAAAAACCACTTTTGGATTCAATGCCATGAATGGGGAACTCAAGATGCCATGACCAGTTGGGCAACGAGACCTGCAGCAGCGAGAGCAAAGGGTGCTGGGGGTTGACACGAAGCAGCATGTTTCGATGCCTCGCTCAGGAATGCAGTTTCGAGCCAAGATACGTGCTATTGTCGCACCTCTACGAAGACGGTTGGAGGATTCAGCAAATTCGTTCTCAGGGGCGGCCCACGAGGGAATCCGAGACAAGTATCAACTTGTCCCTTACGGTAGTTCTGGATACTGAACAACCGATTATGGTAACGCAGCGGCGGTACGGCTGGGTTAGAGGACAATGCAAAGCAGGAACGGGTAACTCCTTGTTGGTCGTCCGTATTCCACTCCAGTTCAGCCCTCTGACCTAATGAATAGATATGGCTGCACAAATTCCAAGGCTGAGGGCTTTCTCTAGTTGTACCCAAGGACGGAGAATGCAGCTGCAAATTCACGACTGCCTGGATCACGCCAGGGTGCAGTAAACAAGCAATGATTCAGACCAAACGGCTCGGAGTCAACCCTCCTGAGTGTCAGGCACAAGACCTAAGGCGGTGGCATTGTCTCAAGATCAAATGCAGCGTCACTCATGGCGGGGCCATGAAAATTACTCAAAACGTAGGAACCGCCTCATCGATATCATCCTGAATCTCGCTAGGGCGACGACGGACACTCTTGGACGGCATCATCCACCACCAAGGTTCAGAACAAAATGACCATCTTAACCAGTCATGTTCATTCAACATTCACTCATCGATCGAGATTATAAATAAAATCGGTCATGCGCGGCGGCATGTCCCCCATCAACAGCATCACTCACCCACCGCCCGAAAGGGCCTGGGAGGAGACTTCCTATAATCAAGGGATTTTAATCTGCAGAGCGATCCCCTCCGAAGAGGAGAAAAGGCAACTCGACACCGTGGATAAAAGACTGGGTGTAGGTCGTGGCAGCTCTGGGTTACTTTTTGATCTAAGGAAAAGAAAAAGAAGAAGAAAGAGAAAAGAATTTTCGTTCGCGCGCCGCCATTTTGAAGCTGCTGAAATTCGGCGCTAGTCCGTGTTGGGGCGGGCGGTCAGGCCGGTACCGTGTGGCCCGCCAGCAACGTCGCAGTCGGTTTGCACTGTGACACTTGCTGAGTTTTCTCTCCCACATCCACAGTGTCCACTTTCGACCTCCACCGTTCTGTTGCCGACCACGCATTGTCACGATTGTATCAGGGCTATCCGGCATGCTCAAGTCTCAAAGAATAAGATTCTTGTTCGGCCCCGTCTAGTCTAACCAGCTGTGGATTAATGACCCGTAACTCAAGAGCAGAACGAAACACCTTTATCCACATCGTAGAACATAACAGAAACAGAGTCCATGCCGGGAGACTTTTCCAAGTCCCAACGACGGAAAGGGCCGCCCTATCCATCGCGGCATCTAAGCGCCCAAAACACCGACATTGTACCCGTCATAAACACAAGCTTCTTCACCAGTTCTTCGCCACCGTTAACGTCCTCTTTCCGGCAGCAAAGTCCTTGGAGTAGTCGGTGCCCATGTACCGCCCCTTGAACAGCCAGATTGCGAGACTGGGAAGCTTCCACGTGCCCATCTGGCCCGTCGCCCTGCTCCGCCCAAGTGTGATGCCAGCCAGGACCTTGGGATCGGCGGCGTAGTCGGCCGGCTTGGGCGCGCCCGTAAGGTGTGCCTGGATGGCCTTGACTGCGTACTGCGTCTGCAAGTCCGCGATGCGCCCGTACCCGTCCTCGAGATTGCCCACGTCGCCTACGACGAAGATGTTGTCGTGGCCCGGAACGCGCAGGCTCGCGTTCTGGTTGACGTAGCCCCGCGCGTCCAGCATGCTCGCCGGCAGGAATGATGTGTTGGGGACGTCCCCGACGGTGGGGACGTATGCGTCCGTCTCGAGAGTCGTCGTCTTGCCGCTCTTGTCCGTGAGCGTGAGAGTCTTCCGTCCGCCGGCTCCAGTGCTCACGCTCGTGACCTTGGTGTTGGGGATCGTCTTGACGTTGATCTTGCGCAGCTCGTTGAGCGCCGACTTGCGCACACTGTCGGTGAAGGGTTTGCCAAGGGGTAGGTCGTCGTTGAAGACGAAATAGACGTCCTTCTTGCCGTTGTACTCGAAGCCGATCTCGCCAACCGTCTCGGAGCCGGTGATGCCACCACCGGCGACGACGATGGTCTTCGCGTCGGCGAGCTGCTGGCGGATTTCGCCAAGGGCCCGCTTGGTCTCCTCCGTGGTGCCGACTTCCTTCCATGGCATGTTCTCCTTAGCATGAGTGCCCGTGGCGATGACAATGGCGTCATAGGCAATGGTCCGTTGGGTGCCGTCGTTGGTGGCGACGACGACGGTGCTCTTATCCTCGCTAAGCGTCTCGGCCTTGCCAAAGACGAGCTCGTAGCTTTCCTTGGGGTACTGGGCAAACCCGGGCGCGATGGGTTGGAAGAGCACGTCGTCGCCGAACTGGCCAGGGACGACGCCGCGGACGGAAGCGAGATTCCAGTAGCTGGTGGGATGTAAGTGAACGACACCTCGCATGTGATCGCGCCAAGAGCAAAACTTACTGTTCAGAGTTGGGCGTCACCAAAATGACCTTGAGGTCCTTGACCAGCGGGGCGGTATGCTTCAAGACATGGTGGGCAATGGGTAGACCTGCCAGGCCGGCACCAAGAACGACAAGAGTAGGCATGTTTGGAGTTGTTAATGATGACCTGGCCTTGCTATTGTTAGAGGCGGATTGTTGGGTTTCTTTAAAGAAGAAGCTCCAAACAGCTCGGCAGCTCGGCGAGCTTGAGAGGTTACGTTGCGTCGACTGTTGTCTGAGTCCCCTGTGAAATATACTGGGTTCCGGGTTTCCAATCCGTTTCGAAACGTGTGGCTGTAATCGCAGGAGCTTGTTGAGCTAGCTGGTATATATTGCACTTTCTGTTCGACAATCCCCAATAAACTCTCGGGGCGAAAGCAATTGCTTTATACGGATTCTATATGGACGCCTCCCCGGAGCAGAGACACGCGTATCGACGATTCACTCGGAGTCGGCATTTACAGTTGAGCCTAAGTCCCCGTCCTGCACGTGCACCGAGGTGTAGCGCCGAAGCATTGTGGCTCCGCTGAGGCTATCTGGAGGGTCTCGTCACAATCACGCTAGGTACGCATGAGGCAATGCAACCTAGACCTACGTGAAGACGAAAGGAGGGCTTCCATGGTATGTGTCATTACAGAGCAGCCGCTCGCGGCGGACACAAATTGGTCAGGCACTCTATGACCCAAGCAAGAAATCTGCGCTGTGGACCGCAACTTCAAGCGTTCGTTGCATTCGACAAGGAAGACAAAAAAAAACAACCTTAAACATCCGCTGGTGCTCATTGGCGTTTGGTCTAAAAGCCATTCGCAAGGGAGTCAAAGGCAATAGTGCACGCGCGCGCTGCGGAGCGGACTTTTGGCTGGCGGCAGCAGTTGCAGAGACTTTACACCGACGGCAGTGCCCCACACCAACTACCGGCGCACCAGCTAGCTTAAGGTAAAAGAATGGGCGCTCTTTGACGACGGCGCCTCGGGCGCAAGGGGCAAGTCGTGGCGGGACCGGGCCAGCGGCGGCAGGGCGTGACGAGAGCACGTGACACGGTGCGTGTTTGGTGCACCCATCCCGCGCGCTGTGGAATCTGTCGGCGGGGTTTTGTGTCGACCCGGTCGTTGACCGCCAAGCCACAGATCTGCCCCGGCCCCCGGGATCCAGAAATATGTCGCCGGCATCATCCCGACCTTGCCCCGCGTGCCGAGTTTCGCCTCTGTTTGCCCGTCTTGTTTACGTTTCGCCGATCATTTACACGGACGCATCGTTCGACTTGTTCCGATGTCTCATCAAGTAGGTCCAGTTCATGTAGACTCTCTGGCCCAGATCGATCACGATGAAACGGTTGAGTGCTCCCAGGCGAGATCACCAACAGAAGAGATTGTGCCGCATATAAGCCGCTTGTTGATTTGGCATGCTGCTCTACCCTATGTACTTCTGGCATCCCTTCAACATCCAGCCTACATCGGCGACCAGGAAACAAAAGAATAGCATATCCTGGTCTCTTCGACAATCCGTTTGATAACTCCACTCTCAAGCAAGTACCTCCTCCTCCTCCGCCTACATACTCTCACATGGCAGCTTTACAACAACACGAAAAGCGAACCAATCAGGCCCAGGCCTAGACCCATTGACACAACGCCGAGACCCGGGCTGAGGCTGAGAGCACCTGCACGAGCAGGGGCCGACGGCTGAGCGCCTCCAATGGGTGGCGCGCTGGCACTGGGAGTCTGGGCAGGCGTACCGGGCATGGGCATGGGCATTCCCGGAGGCATGCTCATACCGGGCATACCAGGCATACCGGGCATACCGGGCATATCGGGGGTCGTAGGAGTGCCGCTGGGAGGGACGGGTATCGGCTGCTTGGGGGCGCCAGTGGTGCTGTTTCCTCCTCCGGGCATTCCCTGTCCAGCGCCAACGGGTCCCGGGTTCGTGACGCGGAAGAAGTTGCCGGCAACGACCTTGTCCTGGAGCCCGGCGGCCATCAAGCCGTTCATGACGTTGAAGTCGCGACGGTTCTGGGCGGCGCCCGAGAGGGCCATGAGACCCTGCTGCGTGATCATGGTGTGGTCGACTGCGACAAACGTGTACCTATGGCTGAGGGGCTCCCTTGCCGGCGGGTTGGGACCGATGTACGGCGCGAGGGCGGCCGCGTTCATCCTGTTCTGCATAACGAAGACCTTTTTCGGTCCGGCGGTCGTGTTGAGCGTCACGGGCGTGTCGGCGGACATCAGGCCCGTCTGCAACCAGTGGAGCAGCGTGCCCGTCTTGGGCGGCTGGTTTGTCGGGACGTCGATATCCACCATTATCACCGCGTACTGTCCCTTCAGCTGTTGTTCAGTTGCGATCGTGGGTTGAACTTGGCTAGCTGATGACATGTTGTTAACCACTACTCGCCATCCAGTCTCGTCTGCCAGTGTGCTTACAGTCTTTGGGTAGGTTCACGCCATCCAGTGCCGAGATGCCTCCGTAAGAAACGATTAGAGGGGTGTTTGAAGAGGGCATGAACCCCATGGGCGTAGCGGCCGACGTCAACGTCGCCGCCGCCAGGACGGCAAAAGTCTTGGACAACATCATTAAAGAAATAATCTCGAAGGAGTGGAATCGTAAAAGTCGCTACTCGGTTAGAATCGAAAGGAAGGGATCGAGAGGAAAAAGAAGAAACAAGCACACTGACGGATATCAACCGCAACGTCGTTTAACAGGAAGAGAAAAAGAGTTTTGGCCACACAGTCACCGCCGCGAAGGGCGACCCGAGAGGCATTATTTAGGGCGCCTTTGCTCGTTTTCGCCTGAGCTAGATCTTGGGGGTCATCCGTGGGTGCGGAAACATCATCGACCGAAGATGAAACGTTGTCTTAGCACCGCTGTTACAAGCGCAAGTGCCCGCTGCATGAAGCATTGGCCGCGACCAACCCCTTCTGAAAGACTCGGAAAAATGCTCGTCGATGGGCAGGGAAAAGCCTGTACCTGCTTAAATGCGGGATCATCCTTATTAGAACCGACAGGCATGGCCTGCGATTGCTGGAACCGAGGTCGTGAGGCATCGCGAGACTGTGAATACCCTGTTGTGCCTCACTGGTTGTAGGTTTCTCGGAAGGAAGCTTGCTCCTTGTGGAGCAACCCCAGGATGTCTGCTCTTGTTGGCGGTGTATGGCCAACTGGACAGTTCGTTGAGAGCCCCAGAAACCCTTTTTGGCTTGGGTTCCTTGGCGAAATCTGTACAAACAAAGCTTGACGATTCTCTGGCTGGCTGTGAATAGTTAGCCAAGAGATTGGATGCTTGTGCGACGTCGGCATAGTTTCTGGTCTCAGTCCGGGGTCTGTGTGCTTTGGGAAGTGCGCCTTACGCTTCCAGTAAAATGGCATTGCGCCGGGAACCAATTGAAACGCAATGGCCATACTCGACAGCTCCCCATCTACGGTTAGAGGCCTACGAGGGAATCGTCTAGTGGCTTGTAATTGTCTACGGCTTGGATGTAGTGAGTCGACGATTCCAACAAGTTTCGCAGGAAGTCGGAGGCAGAAACGGGTAGTGCCGGCCGCTCTGCCGCGAAAATGCAATGGCGATATGGCTGGGACAACCCTGCCACGCCTGCCACCAGGAGCAGCGGCCTGTAGACCGCATGAAACAATGCCCTTTTGTTTCCGATACTCGGCATCCGGAGTCTAGCGGCCTCTTCGCCAATGGCCTTACAGGACCTGTATAACCTAAAAGGTACGCCATCTGAAGTTCGCCACGAGGGTGTAGCTTTGCAAAGACCAGACCGAGAAGGTCTGGGAGTGTGAAAGACAGTTTTATTGCTTCACTTATGGTCCGCCTCGTCGTGAGCCGTCTTTGGTTCGCTGGTGGTTAAAAATTGAAATTGAAATCAGAATTCCGACCGTCATAGATGCCTAATGACCCCCGATGGAATTCAATCTTGACCATCGTTGACTTTCCCTTTGAGCCAAGGGTCTCGAATCAATGAAGAGATTCGTATCTGAGTCGTCAAGGCAAGGTTTGCTGGACCATGAAGCTACCACACAATACAGCAGTGTGTACGCATGATCTGCGTTCTCAGTGCAACGACCTGAATAGAATAGAGAGCGGAAGTCGGATGTCGTCAGATGTTCGTCAAAAGGAGAAAGTGGTGCTGAGCCTTCAATGCTCAGTCGCGTCTTTACTTGACACCAAACGGATGAGCTCGCAGGATTGATCGTCGGTCACGGTCTGGAAGGTGAGCACCCCTCCGTATTCTGGCATAAGCCGCACGCCATCCACCGCCCCCAAATGGTTTAGCCGCACGAGGCGAGCGATGACATAAACAACCATATGGGGTCTTCCGGCCCGAACTTTGATGCACCTGTAGGCTCTGTGCGGTAGTGTGATTCCTGAAGCTGGTTGGCGGACATGAGCCCTTGGCTGAACTGCGAGAATCCCGTGTTGTTTTCTGTGTTGGGTTGTCAGCAAGGTCCAAGGAACGTCGGAATACCAAGAATAAGCCGGGCAGCCTACCTCGCAAAAAGTTATTGCATGTATCGGCCCCCGCCTTCAAACATCACTTGAGCGGGGTCAGATGGGGGATCGGCAAGAGATCGGCTACATTACGGGTGTCGTCAAAGGAGGAGGCAAGGGTCCTCCTGCAGTAAGATCAGACGAGGGTTATCGTCCTCGGCTCGTCATTATTTCCTCGTCTGCCCGCTTGTGGAATGGGCTCGGGACCAATACTATTTGGGGCGGATGGCTGTAGCTGGACGCATATGAACAAGCATCGTCGGGCGGTCGATGCCATGCCTGTTCCCTTGAAATATAGGTAGCATCTCAAAACCGCATCCCATGTTAATAAAGTTCAAAGATATCGTGTCAGGTCCGATGGGTCAAGTTTCATCCGAAGCAACTATCCGCTACGGTCATATGAGAGAAGGTTGAGTTGTGTGTGTCACTCGGAGGGGTGAAGTTGAGTGAGGCAGGAAAAAGTACGTGCTTCCCTTTCGCGGTCATGATTGCTGACTTCAACAATCTCCAATGAAAGCAAACCCCTCCCATCAAGGCAAACATCATTGTCTGGAACCGGCAAGCGCTCAGACACCCTACCTCAATTAAATCCGCCTATCAGGAGATAGAAATGGTTAAATCTCCCTTCAAAAGATCAACCAATGGCATGTCTGCGCGTACTGCTTCTTGCGTGCGATGAAGTACGTCGTCAACAGTCCAAAAGAACATGTATCTTGATTCCTGAAAGCCAGGATATCTGAAGGTTAGATAGGCTAGATGTCATATTATTAAACATACGTTTGAAACTCAATCTTTATTTGGGGGGAGTTTTAGGCGAGGGTAGAATTCAAGCACAGAAAAATATATATATCAAGAATGGAGGCCCGCACCACTATCTCACGAGATATGCGATAAAAGAAACAGTCATTGATACTCCTTTTCAACCTCCCTATCTGTATGGACTCATGCTGTAGGAGGCCCAGTGTCTATTACTGAAGTAACCAGACAATACATCCGAAGAAGATGGTCCTATACTCAAAGCGGACATCTCGATTTCATTGAACGAGTGGCTTAGTTGTGTCACCTCATATACTGCCAAGAACCAGGTATATACAGCGGCTTCATAAAATGTAGCATGTGCTCGCTTGAAGCATGGAGCATAACCACGCCTGCTATATTGAGATGCAAGCAGCGTGCACTTGCCAAGAGACTGCGAAGAAAGTCTCGAAGTCGTACATACAAGACTGTTAGCATGATAGGAGTAATCAAAAAAGGAAGTGACTGAGAAGTTGGCCCTAAATCCGTTTAGTGACACTGGTTCGATGCTCGTATAATGCTGCGTTCCTACCATATTTAAGCAGAATATTGGTTCGAGCTACCTTCCCCCGCAGTAGATGTACCTCGGCAAGATACTGGAGTTATTGTATGTCTCTGATGCTAATATGGTTGTAGGCGCTTCAACAGCAAATAGTGCCGGATATGGCCGTCAAAAGGGGCCACATGTGTTGTTGTGATTTAAAGGCTTACAGGACTTTGAAGACATAGAGCACTGACACGTCCCTGAAGATACTGGCACACAGCCAATGTACCTTTAGAATAGTCAATGAACGGTTGTATTATCGATGTCCTCCTGGCTAATCGGTAGGGGAAGGTGATGATGAAGGGAAAGGAATCAACAGCTCAAGCTTATGGACAGTTGCTGAACTTGACTGTCGTCTGTTTTCGGCAGTCTCGATGTTCAACAAGGCGTCTCAACATATGGCGTTGTGGAGTGTGAGTGGAATTTCGATTGATCGTGGCAAACAAGAATTCTCCTCCGTACATCGGAGGTTGTTGATAACAACACCACGATAGTGCCGAAACTGCTCCTATGACTCTACTTTGCATTGGCTCCGAATGAAAAACGCAAGGGTATTTAGAACAGCAAAACTGGACTGCTTACAACCGAACCGTGTGGCACCCACCGATATGACTGAATAACACTGGAGACAGTGGCCACAAAGATGTCGTTGAGGCGTGTCCATAGGAACAATGCAGCCCTCTCCCGCCGGCTACACTTACGCCGTTCCTGAGTCGAGGAGCCAGGTGTCATCAACACACTCGCCTCCTGATGTAGGTCTGTTGGACTTCGATCTCCAAGGAGCCCGTGGTCGTCATCTTAAACCGATCTAGATTCGAAAATCTTCATCCTCTGCCTTGCAAATGATGATATGAGCTGGCAAAGGGACATGACAACAGAGCAGAAAGAAGCATCGGTGATGTTGTACTGTAAGAGGACAGTAGTAGCCGAGAGCCCTTGGCGTACCATGAGACCATCCGTAAAACTGTGGATCAGGTCTAGATCTCGATGTCAAGCGAGGGGACTGACGCCGGGTAACTGCCTCTACTGTCCCATAATCTCCGATATGCGCCGTACTCAAAGAGGTGCTGGGTGCACTTGAACACGGAGAGCTGTCAGGATGACGGATGGGATCGCCGAGTAGCCCAATGTGAGCGAGCCAACCATCAGAGAGACGTTTGTCGGTGACAATCTCGATCACGGCGAGCCCATTTCGTCAGGGGCTCAGCTCCGCGTACTTGGACGTAGAGGTTCCGCTAAAGATGCCGCAAAATGCGAGCAAAGGACCGTTTTGGCCATCAAGGATTCGGGATCAGACTCGGCGTGTTGCTATCCCATCTGCCTTATTGCCTCGATGATTCAGCAATGACCTAGTCTCCATCGCTGAGCTCGGTGTACGTCGAGCTCGAAGCGCATGATAGGTTTTGCGTGGGAGGTAGATCTCGAGGAAGCTCGTCATTGTTAGCAGAAAATCGGCCGAGATGCTTTGCTGGGTTAAGGAGGTCAAAGGGGCTTAACGAAAAACCTCCAATGATAACATCATTCATGACGTTTTGGGCATTGTCTGCTCTTCCCCAGGTCCCCAGGTCCCCATCACGGGCCCATTGCAGGCTAGAAACCGATGTCATTGTGCCAAGCCATTTGTTCATAGTCTGGCCGTTGTGCGGCTCCTACTGTAGGTCAGGGTTGAAGACGCAGGGGCGAAAAGGCTTCTAGCCACCCCTTCGTGCCAGGTATGATCCAGGGGTCATTTGCTGA